CGTGCTGGAGTTCATTTCTCCAAGGTATCGATGAACTAAAACTCATAGCGGAATGACAGGAAGATTGACAGCCATGAGAATGTACATGGATCAGTTGAAATAACCTTAACGATACATCAATATACAGTATCGATACATCAGAGCTTCTGTATACATCAATATACAGTATCGATACATCAGAGCTTCTGTATTCATCAATATACAGTATCGATACATCGGAGCCTCTGTATACATCAATATACAGTATCGATACATCAGAGCCCCTGTATACATCAATATACAGTATCGATACATCAGAGCTGCTGTATACATCAATATACAATATCGATACATCAGAGCCCATGTATACATCAATATAGGAACATCAAAGCACAATCCTAGCCTCGACTTCTCTATCTACAGGGCCCAAAAACATGTCTGAAATACTCACCAATCAGGGAAATCATTTCTCGAGCTACGTCTAAGGAACGACCATAGCCTGGGGCGTAGCTCGCCCTTGTTCGGAGTGGATTCCTAAGAGCGGGTCCGGGACAGGGCCTTGGTAGGGGGACAAGGGAGTACAACAAGCAGAGCTTTTGTTTTGTTTTTGCGTATGAAAATTTGGTGGATTCACCTGCATACCAGCATATACCTGCAGGTAGCTTCTCGGCTGTAATAATAATAATAATAATAATAAACTTTATTTATTGAGGATACAAAACCTGTTTAGCAAAGCTAATCTTCCACAGGGTCCTCTGTTTGTAAAATTGGTTAGTTAAAAGACAGTAGTATCACAGCAAATAAATGTACATAAAATAATTGTTGGTCTACTAAAACAGCAATTCATATCACAGTTATTTCATAATTTAAACGGTCGTTCAATACAATTACAATAAAATTATCACAGAAGCACGAAATATATTCCGTGCTTAACCCACTATTATGGTTTTCATTAAAAGACAAATTGTCTAATTTACATAAATGCTAATGTAGCAAAAGCTAAAAATTGACAGTATACACGCTAATATAGCGAAAATAAAACAAATCAAAGCTGTATCTAAAAAGTATAATAGTAAAAATAAAAGACAATTAAACCGCATTCTTAATGTTACCAATCATATTTTGTTTGAGTTTTGTCAAGGAGGAAGAGAGTCGTACTTCAACCGGTAAATTATTCCAAATCTGGCTCCCTTGTACCAAAAAGTGTTTGGAATAAAATGTGGTACGGTGTTTGGGTACCTTGACAGAGTTTTGGGATGCTGATCTANCTCCCTTGTACCAAAAAGTGTTTGGAATAAAATGTGGTACGGTGTTTGGGTACCTTGACAGAGTTTTGGGATACTGATATAGTATATCTGTTGTTAGACAAATTAAATTGATTAGAAAGATATCCTGGAACCAGATTATTTATACATTTGTACACCATAACACCTCTTTTGAATTTCAAATATTTGCCAATTGGTAACCACCCTAATGAAGAAAACATTTCTGTACCACTCCAACAGACAGTTTATGATTGAAGGAATTCAAATTGACCTGATAGAGACCTGACAGCACTAACCCCTACAAGAAGATAATGCTCAAGAGAAATAAGAGCAAACACTATTTAAAGCTAACCACATCATTTAACTTTGGAGAAGATTGTCGAAACTTCCAATCATGGTAATAAAATGTTTTATGTATATGTGACCAGTATACCCTGCCCTTCTTAACCAAATGCAAGACCATCGTTGTAGTCGACTTCACGACTACAGGAACCAGAACTTCGTTGGACAATCTACCTGTTAGACAAAGCTAATGTTCCTGTCTCTAACACCACCTTTCTAAAGGGAACTTGGGTCAAGAAATTCTCCAATGTCAATGAAATGTAGAAAGACTTTCTTTGGAACCCGTCGAGATACATGTAAGTATACATAAAACATAGGATAAACACAGACATCTTGTTACACCTCGGGACTGAGCATATCATAAGGCGATGGCTTCACGTAAAGACTGAGTCTGGACCGTAATATCGGGATGACAGACAGTATGTCAACAAAATCGTCAGTCCTTATTGTAAACAGAACCCGAGGGAACAAAAACCAGCCAAAACTGGGCGACAGATAAGAATGTAATGTAACAGTCAAGGAAAGAAAGGGGAAATGTAGCCTAAGTGGCAAACTACCCTTTCTAGCGATACGGTATAACCCGGGGACGCGTTCAATACTTCAGCAACATCGAGCGTGGTCTCAATGGTTGCCCGCTCGCACGTTAGGTTTGGTGGCAGGCAGTGTGATTCTGAGGTACTTTGAAAGGCCAGTTCCCGTTGGTAAGGGAAGGTACATTGATACACGGGGAGGACACTTACGGGAATCCCGAAGCCAAGTTTCGGGTCGAAACATTTGTGGAATAATGTAACAGCCAAGGATATTTGAGGGCAAAATTACTGCCTTACTGTAACGTACGGCGGTCACCCATCCAACTACTGACCACGCTCAACGTTGCTGAATTAGTGAGCGGGTCCCCGGGTTATACCGCATCGTTGGAAAAACTAGCTTGCCAGAAGCGAAGTATTTTCCTCTCAAAGTCCTTAGCTGTTACATTATTTTCCCCTCCGAGAATCTCGTCCCGAGACTTGTCCTGGGGAATACCGTGAGTCCTCCCTGTGTACCAGTGCACCTTCCCTAGCTACCTGGAACTGGCCGTACATGACCACACACAGAGGCTTTACTTATTTCTAATATAGAACTAGATCACCTGATTGAAATAGACTTTAATAATATCAGTATAGACTTTGTTGATAACCATAAACATCTGTGAGTATTCCTCGATGCTAACTGTAAGTGGAGCTATCATATTGACAATATTTGTAAAAAAAAAAGTAGTCAAGCAATTAGGTGTTTTCCGTAAATTGAAATATAATCTAAATCGCCCTACATTAAATAAGATATATAGATCGTTTATACTTCCTATTCTAGAATATTGCTGTGAAGTTTGGGATGGTTGTACTCTTACAGATACAGACAAGTTAGAAAAGTTACAATTAGAGGCAGGACGTATTGTCACCGGTTTACCTTCCTATGCTAGTAGACAATCTATATATACTGAAACGGGATGGGAATCCCTAGCCCACATGAGGTCCCGTCGGAAACTGCAATTATTTTATAAAATTCATCATAATATTACTCCTAACTATCTAAACACTCTACTCCCTCCCCTTGTCGAAAATGGTCAATATAATATTAGAAACGCCGAAAACTACAACCTGCCTAACAACAGACTAGAGTTATCCAACATGTCTTACTTTCCTTCTACTATTAGACTTTGGAATCAGTTAGGCATAGCTCCTCTTTTTCATCGTTTAAAAATGCCATTAGAGACAAACATTTGCCCCATGTACCCAATTACTTTTTCTACGGTGATAGAAAAAATAACATCCTACATACAAAACTAAGAAACCGTTCTAGCACTTTGAAAAACGATCTATCCCGAGTTAACCTGGTTGATGACCAACGTTGTATGTGTGGTTACCCTATTGAAGACACCTTCCATTTCTTTTTTAACTGTGATAATTATGTTTAACAGAGAATTAAACTTTTATCGTGAACTGAATGCATACATCCCCTTTACATTGAATCTACTTCTTTTTGGAGATATAACAATTTCGGAACAAGAAAACAAAATTATATTCATGAATACTCAGCAATATATACAAGACTCGAACAGATTTTAACACCCTCCATCCCTCAAAATCGACATCTTTATTAATACATGTATCTTACTAATACTAATAGATTGACAAAACGAGTTGCAACATACAAATATACGTATATATATATATAAATATAATGAAGTCGTGTGTTTGGTCTTTCTCTGTGCGGACGGACTAGTTGAAACGGAAATACCAGCAAGAGCGGAGTGAACAGGAGGAAGTTATAATAGCACGGGAAGTGATGAACATTGATCAGAAGAAAGTTGTGAACAGCGAATAGTATAACTAGTCCGTTCGCATGGAGAACAACCACGTGGTCTGATATATATTTTCTTAAATTTACAGTCTTGTTGCAGTACTTATCTAGTAATCTTAAAAATTCGGACCCTCTAACCCCCTCTTCCCTCTCTCTCTCTCTCCTCCCCTCTCTCTCTCTCCTCCCCTCTCACCATCCCCCTATCTCTCTCTCTTCCTTTATCTACATGTGCATGTTTATATGTGTGCGCATGCGTGTGGTTCGGTGCGTGAATAATTAATTTATAATACATAGCTTATTTACGTAGTTCTGCCATCATGAAATTTTGTTAAAAAATATTATTGTACAGGGAAAGGGCTTGATATAAGTTGTAAAATTTGTGGAACGGCTAACTATGTGTCTTTGATCGTTTGTGACTGACGTTTTTCGGGGTTGGGATTGTAGAAATAATAATGAACATATTTGGAACAGCAGTGCAAGTCTCCTATGTTGTTGTCTAGGCTGGTTTTGCCTATGAGAGGGGGAAATAGACAAGCTCAAGCTGTACTCTGTAAGGTGGCCATCTTTCATTTATTGCATCAACTACAACTAAAAACAAAAACCTGACGAAGCACCATGACATGGTTACGTAGTAATTGTATATTGTATTTATTTTTTCCACTGCAGTCAGATACTCCCTTTGTGGTGTTGGAAAAGAAAAGCTTCATTATTTTGTTTATATTCGAAAATGAAAATGGGATCCTTGAAATCAGTTTTATTGTACAACAAATTGAATATTTCAAAATTCCTTTGGTGATTTAGAATCTAATCATAGAGAAGGGAGGGGACTCATTATAATGTACAGTTAAAACTTTTCCTCCCATACATTCTCATGCATTTTTACCCAACCTTTATGTCAGTGTTCTCCATATAGCATTTTGTGACATGTTTGTTTCATTGACTTGGACTGTACAATAGAGATCCATCAACCAAAAGTAATTGTTTATGTCCACAATAAAAATTGGTTAACAACAGGCCTCATTCAATGACCTTTCTGTCATTTGAGTGTTCTAGGGGGAGTAACTCTACCTTTTCAAAATGGCGGCCTCCATGAGAACATGTGTGTTCAGAGACTTGCGTCTTTTACACCGATCGTTACTCTGTAACCCTGTAAAATCATATCCTTTGCCACGGTGCATCCATTTGACACAGAAAGGAGGTAAATATTATAATTTAGCGGAAGGAGGCTCAATTATTCGTTCATTCTGTATTTGAATGTGTTGCGTCAGATGACATTGACCATCAATGACATTGTTGACACCGATAATGACGTTGATATAGGAAATCGAAGAATGAAAATTACTGCCTTAGCTCGTACAGTCGTACAGATCAACAGTATAACTATATTCGGTTTATTTTTGTTCCAAATGAATAATCTTTCTTAAAATCAGAAGTCATTGAAATAAGGGGTTATATTAGCAATGCTATCGAATTTTTTCAAAATCACATTTTGGAGCTATTTTGTACCTCATTTTAAAGTTCTTGTCATCCTGATGAAAACGCACCAAATTTTGGGGAGATATGTTAATAAATGAGAAAGTTATGACAGATTGAAGTTGAGAAAATGAAAGGATCATAAATTGCGTTTTTTTGTTTTGGGCTATAAAACAACCTCTTTCTGTAACTTTTTCATTCTTTGATATATTTCAAACATTCTTTCACAGTTATTTAGCTGAGAGTTTCATCTTTTGAATAATAGCAATGGAAATGGGTTTAATTAAGTAGAACATATGTAAAAATCTGCTCAACCAGGGGTACCCCCTCCATAAAAATAGGCATAAAAGACAGCACTTTGATATTTGCATCAATTTCAGAAATAAATACCTCACTTCTTCATAGTTATATAAAAATATATCCATTATATCACATATTAGACCATGAACCAGTTTTACATGGGATTATAAGTCTAAAAAGCACAAAACCCAAATATACAAATGTACTATATAGCTAGATCTCTGTGGAGTCAAATATGGGACATCCTGCATGTACACACATTCGTTTCGTTTTATGAGAACTCCTCTGTTAACTTCTCCATTTGTTTTTTTTATTTTATGAATTGATTTGACCCAAATCTTCAGGAAACATTGAACTACTGTCATATGAAGACTTCACCAAGGATGTGGTAGCACTATGTGGGTGATATTTCCGATTCATTGCATACACTAGAGGAAAACTTTAACTGACTTTATACTGCAGGCACACTTGGGTACCATTCCACAGCTGGTCTCTTACTATTCCCCTGATCACCCTTTCCCACAAACTCCTCTGACAATTAGACCACCTCCTGTTCCCTTTGTCTCAATTGTTTTGTAAGGAGGCTAAATATTTTTTTACAAGTAGCTACATCTATAATTCCAGTAGCTGTGCCTGGACAGGCTCCTTGATTAAAACAAAATGGAAGCATATGTTGTATACTGCATTTAAGACTTTATTATTATTAAAAAAAAAAAAAGTTTTACCGAAAAAGAATATGCGATTCTGTACTGTGAATAGGCTGATCCAGAAGCGTCAAAACCAATGTCCAATTGGAGAAAAACTGAAAATAGAAATAAAAACATATATAAGTTTTGTAAACTAAACAGAATAATTACAATCAATCATACCATTACCTGGTAATTGAGGTATAGTTGTGAAACATGGAAAGTTTCCAAATATTTCAATCTACATCATCAAGTGCTATGATATTGGTTTTGTAAATTTTTGTTCTATTGCAAAGGAATGTCATGTAAGCAATAAAAACAAACCTCAACTTTCAGCTATATATGCACTCATTTACACTTGTACACAACCACCTGTATTAAGCAAACACCTGTCTACAAAGGTCACTTATCAAAGATCCCACTAACCCATTTCCTTGTAAATGAACCTGTATATAAAGGCCACATTTCTGTTGACACATGAGTGGCCTTTATAGACAGGTTTGATTGTACTTGTAACAAGAAAGTATAACTTGCATGCTGAGCATAATATCTGTGAAATATTTTAATCTAATGTATATATCTACAAAAACTATGAATATGTACCACAAAACCCCAGAAATTGTAAGTTTATAAAACATGCAGTGAGATTTTTTTTGTAAAATTAATAAACAAACTACTGACTACAGATGAACGTATCATGAAACATTGATAACTAATAATGCGGTGCAAATCAACAATACATCCAACAAAATAATATCTGTAAATGTCTCTGAAACATGCAAACAATGTATTTCGAATCAACAAAAATCTAAATGCTACTCTTAAACTTGATTAGTATAATAAACAAACATGTTAAATTCCTGTCTCTATTTCATAACTTGTATGCAAGATACCAACTTTGCAACTTATTAACAAAATCATGCTGACTGAACTATTTCTTACACAGAAATATATAGTATCCATCTTTAATCTTCATCCATTTTCCATGTCAATTTCCATCTGAATAACTGAAGACTTCACTCTCCAAACACAAGAAGTGTCCATGCCCACAATTTTTTCCAATATTTACCACAAACAGTGACACTATGAACATGATGAAATTGTAATCATTCTCTTTAAAAGTTTTGCTGCTTGAAAATAACTGTCACTTGCAGAATGCACAGTAAAAGGCTTTGAGTTAAAAAATTTACTAACTAGTACTGTTCACTCTGTTATTGTCTCATTGCACATTAAACATTTGTTCATTAACTACTTTTCAACAATTATCCTAATATCTCCTTTTTTATAGTCCTGTATCAAATTGTACACATAAATAGCTTCATCCTCATCATATTTCACATTATACCATTTTGGAAATCCTGGCACAACTCCAATCACATGGCCTTTGTAAGTTTTGTCTGTGAATTTGTGTTCAATCTTTTTATTAACAAGAAGTGGTACATCCCCAGATTGATGTTCTGTTGTTGTGGCCGATGCTGCGCTTGATACAAGCTCTTGTAGATTGCCTATGAGTTCTTCTTTTGATAGCTTTCTGTACTTTCCATTTGATAATTTTAAAGAAAAGTTAAATACTTTTTTGTTTTCATGCTTTTGTTTTAAAACGTTTTTCCTAAATTTTAGTTGTGCTTGTAATGCTCCAATAATCACCTTTTCTTCTTCTAATCGGTTTATTCCTTCCTGAATTTGCTCGTTGCTTTGCCATAATCCGTAATAACAGATGTCATTTGTCAAACTTTCCTGCCTCTGCAGTCTCTCTTCCTCCTTTCTATGTAGTTCTTCCTTTCTTCTTTTCTGTGCTTCTACCTGTTTCATCTGTATTTCATGAAGCCTCTCCTTAAAACTTTCCCTCAGTTCTCTTCCCTCTTTTCTTGACAAATCCAGTAACTTATCCTTTTCTCCTTTTGGAAGGTCCTTCAACCATTTACTTGTTTTATTATATGAATACAACAAGTAAGCCTCATTTGCAAGGACAGAAGCATTAGNGTTATATCATCAGGTCGGGGAAAACCACTAATTTGCGTATAATACGCAAACTCGCCTATTATACGCCAATAGGGGTATGGATTCGTTACTAAAAATAGCCAAAATCACTTTAATCTTAACTTTTTCCAATTGTTTGTCCAAGTTGCATTTATTCAGTCATGAAACATGATACAAATGCGAAAATAAACTTTATTTGCATGTGGGAAAGTACCAAAAATAGATGCAATATTTCCAGTAAAGTTACATCAAGTTTCTAAGTAGCTAACGCTTATAGTAAACATCTTTTAGCCAAATATTATTTACCTTGTCGTAAATTAATGCGATTTTCAATAATATCTTGCAAAAGTTACTGTTAAAGCGATTTGGGTTATTTTTAGTAACAAATCCATACTCCAACTGGCGTATTATAGGCGAGTTTGCGTATTATATGCAAGTTGGTGGTTTTCCCCAACCTGATCATCCCTCATTCATAAAAGTTCACGGCAGGTAAGCGATTTTATCACTAACTGATGGAGTGACTTACGATATAGTCTATGTTAAGTTTGAATAGCCTACTCAAATCACAGGGGCACACAACTTCTAATAATATTGATCTTGTTCGACGTTTAGTTGCTGGATATGTATATCCTCCTAAAGATATGGGTACCAAACAAAAGGGTTCCGAAGCTTTTAGGATTCCATTAGCTGGTTTTAGTACCTATTGTTGGGCCAAATAAAAAGAATCTTGTGTGTTTCTGCTAACTGTACCTACCATAGATTAAATTGTTTGCATACCCTAAAGTTTTTATTGGCATTTAGTGGTATGCACTGATACAGACCTCCTGCTCTATATAAGCTTATTAAAAATATTTTCCAAAATAAAAAAACAATGTCAACCTGCCTTTCATTTGTTTTTGAGGATAGTGGCGGAAACACAATTACTTTTTTTTAGCCTTATACATTAAGACTTGTGTACATCTGAAAAACAATTTCAAAAACCTCTGTAAAACTGTTTGATGATTATAAACTATGCCTACCTAAATCATGTACAGTATGCAGGTCCTGATGCCTGGCTCAGTCTAGCTCTGGATTCATTGAGGCAAGTAGGGGTCATCCCAGTATTGGACTAACAAGTCTTGTCTCGTACAACTCTGAAGGGACTTAGAAATTCTGAAAATGATTAATTTTACTCACCCTCTGATTTCAACAATACAGAGGGAAAGGACCCATGAAAACTAATTTTAGATAGATCCCTGTGTTGCTACCCAAAATGTTAGGGCCGCGAGAGGAAGCAACAATTAATTTTGTTAGGAAATAAACAGCAATAAATTGATCTGTTGTGGCCTTCTGTCTTCAGGAAGGCAATGCTTGGTGCCCATCTACCAGGTGTCACGCCCCAGGGTATGGACTGGAGGACACAGGAGTTTTGTCACCAGTGCCTCACTGCTCAGCTCGGAACCAGAGACAATCCAAGGGGAGATAATCGAGGAAGAAGTGAAGGAAGAAGAAACTTACCACTCCATTATCAAAGACACAGAGAGGTCAACAGGTGTGTTTGTTGTATTCCCTCATACTTGTTTTTTTTTTTTTTATATATATATCACTGAGCTATCTTGTAGCATCAGTCATGTAAAATGTGGGATTACTAGAGTCTATCATAGTATGGGGGTAAAATTGTCCATTTCCCCAATATCTACGTAATGTCATTACAATTGACTAATTTTCTACCTAGGTAAATACTGTAACTGAATTCGTGAATGCAACAGTTATAAAAACAGTTGTTTGATTGGTACATTAATTACAAATTAGCCAAAAATCAGATTTAGTTAGAGCAGAAGAAGTATTAAAAAATATAATACACCGTAGCCATTTATATTATAAGCCTGGTAACATGGTAAGCAGTGTTGCAGTAGCTAAAATGAATTCAGTATACATCTGTTAAGTATTTATTTATCAACAGGTCCTGGAGACAAGCTGGAGTTCCAGGCCGAGACACGAAAGCTGCTGGACATTGTGGCGCGGTCTCTGTACTCAGAGAGGGAGGTGTGTACACCAGAGCTTATTTGTGCGCACATTTATCTCTCTTTATCATTATTCTCATGTTAACTAATTTTCTAAAAAAAAAAAGGATTTTGATAAGGACTTTTCCCCCTGTCCTGACTCCCACATCATTGGATGTAATTATCAGTATGAAGTTATGCAGGTTTTCTTCAAGTTATAGAAACTATTAGCATTGAAGATCCTACTTGATAAAAAAATAAAAAAATGATGGCACTTCATACATTACCAGGGTCAGGACGTGCCATTCTGATGTGGAGAGTGAGTCAGTGATGACATCCAATCATATGTAAAACGAGTAGGCTTGCCAGAGCTCTGTTCATATGTCCTAGTGAACTTTGTAAATGGAGCCAAGTTATATTCCAATCAAGGATGACTGCTTTTCGTTTTTTGACAAACTAATGAAAATGAAATGTATTTGAAAGTGTAATGAATGTTGTGAGATATATTTTGTACCCTTCGTTGTAGGTCTTTATTCGGGAGCTCATCTCCAACTCCAGTGATGCCTTGGAGAAGATGCGTTACATGGAGATGAGTGGGGACACACAGGGTGACCCAGCATTGCCCCTGGAGATACACCTCGCTGCTGACGATTCTAAGAAGACATTCACCATTCAGGTACGATGAGCTTTATTATTTTCTTAATTTGGATTGTTAGTTACAATACAAAATATATACAGCTGGCCTCCTTGAAAATCACTCTTGACACTATATATCATGACTTAAATAAAGAGTTCTACCTCTTACTGAATTGTTGTTATTGATCTACTGGGTAAAGTGAATTTTGTCATCCATCTACAGCGATTTTTAGGTTTAATCATTGACCTTAAAGCTAATCATGTCTGTGTTTAATAAACATATCATACAGATTTTGTTAATGATCACCAAATGATTTGAGTTATCTGTGTATTTCTAATGACAGTCAAATAAATATCTTTTATGAAAAAAGGGATAACTGACATGCGTGCAGAGCTTCACTCAAACCAGAAAATATTATGTCAGTTTGTATCAGAATAAATAAAATATATTATATCCTGTTCGCACTATAAAGTTGCCAATGTTTTGTGGTACAGGACACGGGAATTGGAATGACCAAGGAGGAGATGATTGGTAACCTCGGCACGATAGCCAGGTCTGGCTCCAAGGTAAGGGGATACATTCAACAGAAGGGATCATCGTCTTCATTATCCAATGATTAAGGACTTTCCACCTTTCGTAATACACATGTTTTTCTTGTCATATTTTCGTGTCGTCATTTCCGTATTGCGTATCGGGCATTCCATTACTGTAGTGTAAATTATAGTAACACAGGGTAAACAATAGTACACGTGCGTGATGTGATATGTCAACACCCGATATCAACACTTAACTTGGAAATGTTTAATCACACGTACTTCAGAAATAAAGCTTATGATACAAAGACATTAATTAACCCACGGGAAAGCACTGACATACGATCAGACCACTTCAAGAAGGTCGTATATGAGGTGCATGGAATGCAGACTGATGTGTTTTGTTTACCGACCTCACCTGTACGTATCACGTTGTAACAGTAGTTCACAAGTTCTTGGTCGCTACGACTTTTATTGTCGAGCGAGTTACGCTCTGTCAGATAAACCGGTTCAGAAATGCAACTACAATAACTCTGTGAAAATAGTGGTTTGTAAAATATCAAGATCCCTATAAAATGCAAGTGCATGTGCGTGTACGTAATAACGGCATACCATGCGATAGCCTATGGTTACATATGTACCTGACATGTTAATATACCATGCGTAAGCAGGCTATGGAATGATGTCCAAAGTGTACATGATTGAGAGTAGTTTTGTTCCATAAAAGAACAGTAAATTGACAAATAAATATAGTAATTTAATTTATTTCAGTCGTTTTTGGTAATAAAGAAAATAAGTGTCATTGTATAAATTCTATCCCTCTGCAAAACGTTCCGATTTTTTTCAAGGTAGACAACTCTCATCAGGATCAAAATAATTGTAAAATCTAAAATAAATTAATTATAAAGACTTTGTGTGTATTTGGTTCATTTTCCCACTCTTTTTGTATGAAATTATATGTCCTGTTTGCTTTTGGCTTGTATTAAGTAACTTTTATCCATATGGTTTGAATAAAAAAAGCTTTTTCTAACATGTTGTAGATATTTTATGATAAATAAAATATTTGTAGGGTTGATTAGCAATGTTTCTTTTCATTATTTTATTGTTGTAATAGTTTTGAACTATGCCACACGCTCAAAAAATGTGAAAGAGTTGAATTTGACAAAAAAAAAATCCCCAGTTTATCGGAATGCTTAGATTTTCATAAAATCATCTCTGCATAGTGACATTACCATCATGTGAAACTTTCATTAAATTCTGCTGGCTAATTGCGAAAGGGTAGAGCCTCCTTAACTGTGATATAATGTAAGGGTTACATCTTGAGCATCTCTCTGGGTTTTCTTTAGACACGTACTTCTTTCATCTATAGGTTTGTAATCCCTGTTCTCATTTTGGAATTGAGACTCATCAAATTAACATTCTATGAGTAATCCTTTTCTAAAACTGTGTATGTCTTGGAATAAAATAACGGTTCAAATATTTTACAAATTACTTTTGAAAATTAATACAAAGAATAGAAAAAATGCAGCATCAAATTCTAGATTTTGTATTTTATTTACAGTTTATATGTTTCGGCTAGTTAGACTAGTGTCATCATAACGTCATGTCATTCGGCTTGTTAATACCGGTAATTTTACTGATCTTGTTTGTAGGCATTTTTGGAGTCTGTGAATTCGAATGAGAGCAAGTCTGATGTCAGCAATAACATCATTGGTCAGTTTGGTGTCGGCTTCTATTCCTCCTTCATGGTGGCTGACAAGGTCGAGGTTTACTCAAGGTCACATCAGCCTGATGCTGTAGGATACAAATGGACAACAGATGGGTAAGGAGCTTGGGTATACATAGACTTATTGGCCAGTTAAGGTTAGAATCTAATTAATTTTCAAATGACATTTTGTGATTAAGACAGTTTCATTTGACATGTTTCTTTCTTTTAGGTATCTTTCTATTTTTTTGAAAATGTAAAGATTATGCTAAACATTTTTTTTATCTTTACAATTTCACCAATTTGACAACATATGATAATGTTTAGGTTGTCACTGGTGTTTGAGAATGACATGTTTTTTGTTCAGGACCGGTATGTTTGAGATAGCAGAGGCAGAAGGAGTACAGAGAGGTACTAAGATAGTTCTCCACCTGAAGGGCGATTGTTATAACTACTCTAACGAGGAAGTCATTAAAGGTGAGTACTGAGTACAGGGATGATATTGTTCTGTTCATGTCATCATATATGTGGTATCATATTAAACACATCAAATTTGTTTTTAAGAATCCTGAAAATGATAAATTGCTAGTATCTTAAAATATGAGATTAATTTGGACTCAAGCCAAACAGATCAATCTGGATATGAATTACCCCTTGCTTTACCTTTGTTATCACAATGATGAAGTACTACATATTATGACATTTGTGTTTATCGTGCACTGATGTATCTATTGTTTTTATGTTTTTATGTAGTATATGTGTAGTACATTGTTGTATATAATATATCTTCATAGTATGGTTTTTGTAGATTAACTGTTTTATACACTATATTTAATTGTTTAATTAACAGAGGTGGTGAAGCGATACAGTAATTTTGTGGGCGTTCCAATATTCCTGAATGGAAAGAGAGCTAATGTTGTTCAGGTAACACTTTAAACATACTTTGTGATGTTTTTATTACATTTTCCTTTTGTCTATTTGATATTTACACGGTAATAACATAATACAATGTATATTCAAACTGAAAACATTTTAAATTTTAAAGAAAGTTAAAGCCCATAGTAAACACATATACCGGTATGTACAATGTAGTACAATTATATACTATTTAAGGTCTGAAGTATGTGAATAAAGACTTTTGTTCATAATGTATTTATCTTTGTTTAAATATGTTTTGTACATTTATATGTACAGTATTTTGGCCCTGTGTATGTGTATATATATTTATGCACAAGTTTTGAGGCCCTGAAAATGCATTTATTTGATTTTATACGTGTTTAGGCCCTATGGTTGGCAGACCAGAAAGATATCACCGCAGACATGCATGAAGAGTTCTATAGATATATCGGTAATGTGTATGACAAGCCCCGATATCATCTCCACTACAAAACTGATGCACCACTCAACATCCGAGCCCTCTTCTACGTCCCCGAGTATAAACCTAGTAAGTAGACTATCAGACCTGGTATCTCAACTAAGTACGAACTAAAACGTCTTTCAATTTAAATATTTCTTTCTCAATAGAAAGTTGTTAATATTTTTTGCACAAAATAAAAACCTGTAATTCTGTTTACAGTTTTTGGGATATTTCATTTTACTGGTTCTCATTATTACAATTATGTTTGGAATACTAGACTTTGATGATGAAATTAAATGATCATAAAAATGAATTTTCTGTGGAAAAAAAACACATAATTTATATGACTTCCGCACTATATTTGATAAATTATACCTAAATGATATCTTTTTTTCCTTGTCAGCAATGTTCGATATGAGTCGAGAAACCGATGTATGTGTAACGCTGTACAGTAGAAAGGTTATGATCATGTCTCGAGCCTCCAACATACTTCCACGATGGCTACGCTTCCTCAAAGGTAGGTAACCCACATACTTCCACGATGGCTACGTTTCCTCAAAGGTAGGTAAACCACACTGGCTACGTTTCCTCAAAGGTAGGTAACCGACATACTTCCATACTGGCTGCACTTCCTCAAAGGTAAGTAACCCACATATTTCAACACTGGCTATGCTTGCAATGGTAGGTAACCCATGTACTTACTACTTTGGGTTCTGGAAAAATAGGCAATAGGCATTAACAAGAGTACATTTGACCGTCTGCATAAGCCATTCTAATTGTCTTTGGACAAATAGATTTTGACTTGATTTCGTTCGATTTAAATTTTCTTGGAAATGTGATTCATGGATAAAATTTGAAGGCAATTATTAGACAATGATGAACAGCTTTTGTCAGGGAAGTTTGATTAAATAAATGATGAAATGTTTCTTTAATAATATTTTCAATTTCTGTAGTATTTTTATCAACTCGCCTCCCCAAAGGGCAAGTGAGCTTATGCCGTGGCACAGCGTTCTTCGTCCGTCGTCCGTTGTCAACTTTTTCTTTAAAACCTATCTCCTCCTAAACGCCAAAGAGGATTTCAATCAAATTTAGTCTGAAGCATCACTAGTGGAAAGCAATCATTTCTTAAATAATTGAGGTTTGTTCGTCCCCTGGGGCCAGGGGGGCAGGGCCCTGAAGGGGAACTTAGCTAAATTTGCTTTAAAACTCATCTCCTACTTAACGCCAGTGAGGATTTCAACCAAATTTAGTCTGAAGCATCACTAGGGGAGGGCAATCATTTCTTAAATAAGTTAGGTTGGTTCGACCCCAGAGGCCAGGGTGGTGGGGCGGGGCAAATTTGCTTTAGAACGCATCTCCTGCTTAATGCCAGAGAGGATTTCAACCAAATTTAGTCTGAAGCATCACTAAGGGAGGGCAATCGCTTCTTAAATAAATGAGGTTGGTTCGACCCCTGAGGCCATGGGGGGCAGGGCCCTGAAGGGGAACTTAGCTAAACTTGCTTTAAACGCCAGAGAAGATTTCAACCAAATTTGCTCTGAAACTTCATTGGGGGAGGGCAATCATTTCTTAAATAAATGAGACTTGTTCGACACCTGGGGCTAGGAAGACCGGGCCCCAAACAGGAAAATTATCTAATATTTTGCTTTAAGACGCTTAAATTGCAAAATTTGGTCAAAAGCATTATTGAGGAAGAACAAACATTTCTTAATTGAATGAGGTTGATTGGACCCCTGCGGTCCTAAGAAATGGTACAGCTAGATTATCATATTCTATGGTGTAACTTTCATAAATTGTTAAAACTTGGTTTCTATGTTTATAAAAGCTAAAAAATGAAAATTAAAGTATTGTCTAATTACACCCTGTAATATGAGATATTACTTATTTCAAAATCTGTTAACATGGCAACTCAATGGAGGCCCCTGATTAGTTGAAAGTCAGATATTTTGGTCCAAGTTGAGTTAGAACATAGATCTTGTCTGGTTTTGAGGAAATTTCATATAAAGATGTACTAATGCATTCAGTTGTAATGACTTAAATGTAAAACCAGGTGAGTGATACAGGTCCAATGGATCTTTTGTTTTTATATGCCCGCCAAATTTGATAGGAGTATTATGGTATGGGGTTGTCCGTCCGTCCGGCGTAAACTTTTGTTTGACCGGCAGTCTTCTCCTACATTTTTCGACCAATCTCTTTGAAACTTGGTATACATCATAATCATGATATGAAGTTGTGTCCCCTTTAAAGAATTTTGATTCAACAATTTTCCAAAAGTTATTGCCCTTTGTTCATTTCAGTATTTGATTTTTGTCCGGCAATCTCCTCCTACATTTTTCGACCAATCTCTTTGAAACTTGGTATACATCTTAATCATGATATTAAGTTGTGTCCCCCTTAAAAGAATATTGATTCAACAATTTTTCCAAAAGTTATTGCCCTTTGTTCATTTCTCTATTTGATTTTTGTCCGGCAATCTCCTCCTACATTTTTCGACCAATCTCTTTGAAACTTGGTATACATCATAATCATGATATTAAGTTGTGTCCCCCTTCAAAGAATTTTGATTCGACAAGTTATTGCTCTTTGTTCATTTCAGTATTTGATTTTTTGTCCGGAGATTTTCTCCTACATTTTTATAGCATGTCAGCTAACCACACTTAGAATGATGCAGATCTTATTTCAATGTAAGAAAGTTTATAACACTATATGACAATCGACGGGCGTAAATTGTTCCACCCCGCGGTACTCTTGTTTTTCATATTTCTGCTATAAAGGAAACTTGTAGAATTATAATAATTGTTGAATGCCCTATAAAGTGACGACTGTGTTACAGGTGTGGTGGACAGCGAGGACATACCTCTGAACCTCAGTCGTGAATTACTACAGGACAGCTCACTTATCAGGTATGACGACTCACAATTATTGCTTCGGAAATGTCTTCATAAAAAATGCTTCTGTCCTCCGTTTACTTTCACAGTAATCACATGTTATTGATAGCATTACTAAAATTTTAAGGACTTTTTTGTTTTCTCTGTCCTTCAGGAAGTTGCGCCAAGTCCTAACTAGTCGCATCCTTAAGTTTTTCCAAGACTGTGCCAAGAAGGACGTAGCGAGCTACGCAGCATTCTATGATGACTATGGCCTGTTCTTTAGGGAAGGCATTGTCACTGAGCATGACCAGGACACCAGGGTAAGGCAGTGATTGGCAAACTTTTTATGGTCAGGGCCAGTTCATTGAAAACTGTATTAGTTGCTGCATAAAAAAAACTAAATTTTTATTTATATTGTGGATACCTAAATCACTCTTTCCTTTCCTCTGATATTCATAAAGTATATATTTGTAACAGGAAAGAGAGTAGTGTGTTTCCATTGGGGATCGAACCCGCAATCCCTAGGTTCCTAGTCGGACGAAATCCCATTGTCTTTTAACTCGACAGTAATCCTTTAGTTGAGTTGAATGATTCAATAGGTTCAATACTATGATAGCCTAGAACCATAGATGTCAGCCTCTGAAAGCTACAATGAGGTAGATCTCCCTCATTCCACATTTCCAATGAGGGAGAAAGTGTGTGAAACACAACTGAAACTGCTTTGCTCAATTTATCTTTCCCTTTTTATGTATCAAAATAACTCCAAAAAGCATCCATTTGAGTCAGACCCACCTGTTATGATCATTACACACACACTGCAGTAACTAGGAGATCTTTTGACCACAGAGTGTAGATTTTGAGTTTGTGTGAGTTTGAACTTGAATGAGTTTGTTTCGAGGGAGATTGGTAAATTTTAGTCAAAATGATGGAGTCTCCCTCCTAATGAGGGAGGGTTGACAGCTATGCCAGAACAAGTTCATGTTTCAAGGTCCAGGGTCAATATGCGAGTTACTTTAAGATATGTTTGCCTTTTCATTGTTAGTTAGATTTGTTGAAACGTTCTGGTGACTTAAGGGTTGAAATACTAGGATACCTTACACCATAATCAGGTCAAGGTCATTGCGTACATAAATAGAAAATGAACTCCTACTTCAAAAAAGAAAATGTGGCAGAGGCATTCTTGTATCTCAGACATTATCTAGATTAATTATAGGTCATATCAAATATGAGAATAATTTGTCTTTGTTCGTTAGACTAAGAACGGTCAGGCCATACTGAAAGATATATCAGTACTGTTCATACATCTCGGTTATATTTTTGAAAAAAATGGTCTTTATTAGTGAAAGTCTCTATGGTCATTGGCCCAATCAAGATTTATGGAATAAAACATATTAACTACATATACCATATAATTTAAAAAGTTTCATGCACATTGGTCTATTCTATACCAAAGATTTTACATGCTACAGATAATCATTTTGATTATTACAATTTGACAGGAAGAGATTGCCAAGCTGTTGAGATTTGAGTCATCAAAGTCATCTAAGGGTGACCGTATCAGCCTGAATGAGTATGCATCCCGCATGAAGGCAGGATCTCGAGATATCTACTTCCTGTCTGCTCCAAAGTAAGTTTTTTGTGATTTCTCATTTAGATCAAATATAATAATAATTATTGATAATAATTGCAAAACCGATATGAATGTATTTGAATCTTGGCATGTTTGTTGTTAAAAAAAGTAGTAATGTGAGACGACTTGTAAGAATGAGGGAATACAAAGTCCTGTAATGTGTTGCCTAAGAAGTATGTAAAGTCTTAGTTAATGTAGGTAGTGTATACTCGGAGACTTTCTGCTTTGTCAAATATTTGTGTACTTATATTGCTGTTATGATAAACTTTTCCTCGTTATAGCAAAAATTATGAAGTTAAACTGGCAAAAATTCCAGGTATAAAATATTGCAAGTCCATCTTGTGTGTTAAGATCTTTGGTTATTTCTCTGGTGTGTTTCCCTCTTAGTCGAGAGCTGGCAGAGCAGTCACCATACCTGGAGGCTCTTGAGAAGAGGGATGTGGAGGTTCTCTTCCTGTACGAACCATACGACGAGCTTGTGCTGATGAACCTCGGCCAGTATGACAAAAAGTTCTTTAAGTCCATAGAGAATGAGATGACAAGTGACAAGACTGATACGGACACAGTGGACGAGAGTGGTAGGTACAGTGAGATTAGTAATGTTGCAAGTTAGCTGTGTCCTTAGATACATAAACCTTATGTACATATCCCAGCTAGCTAACAAACCAGCTAGACCTGACTGCTGACATTGTCATCTCTAAATCCTGAATGTCCTATTTCATGTATGATCTAGATCTCTACTGGTAATTGTTGTTCAGTATTTATCTGTGAAAATCAGAAAAGAAAAAAAACACATTGTGAAAAAAAATTCCAACATCTGGTTTGCCTAGGATATTTTTGTATCCCTGAAATTTAAATAAACATGCAGTCTACCAAATAAACGTTTCTGATATTCAGATGTGAACAGTTTGCGCCAGACAGAAGTTGACGATCTGATGACCTGGTTACAAGGAGTGCTTGGAAACAAGGTCACAAAGGTTAAGGTAAAGATCTTACAGCACATGCAGATTTTACAAAGTATCTATTAGGTCCTTATTTTGAAATACCGAAGTTGTTTATCTTATTAGCATTTTATAACATTTACCTGCCAAATTTCACTTTCTCCAGTAAGCCCTATGTGTGTATTGTTTTAAGTACATCATGGCATTCCAGATATGAATATATGGAGGAAAAGGAGGCACTTACACAATGATAATATTTACTGTATGTGTGCAGGTGTTTACAGCAATGGTTCATATTTCTTAATTGGTCCAGAGGATAAAAGACAATTGTGGGTGATGGAGGTTACAGAAAATCTCCCCCCCCCCCCTCCCCCCCAAAAAAAAAGTTTTTATTCTTGAATAGCCTCAAATTTTCTTTTTAATCAGTACAAATTCAATTTGTATCTCTAGCAATTCAAATGTATTTGTCAAGGGTAATTGTCTTCATCACAAGCTTCAAAGCACCATTTCATTTGTCACAAGCAAGAATGAAAAGGAAATATGAACATTTCACAAATAAGTTGAACAGTATTAAAATTTAGATACTTACTATTTGCTGACAAGTTTTAAGGATTCTTTTGTCTGTTATAAATGAACAGTGTATAAAAATAACAACCATGCAAAGAAGAATATGTTAACATGTAAAAATATAATTTCTTTCTCCCAACTATTTAAAGGTGACCAAGAAGTTGGTGTCCCATGCATGTGTGATAACTGTCCCGGAGATGGGATCTGTACGACATTTCCTCCGCACCACATTAGCAGACAAGAGTGAAGAGGAACGCTATAGGGTGTTACATGCCACACTGGAGATCAACCCTAGGTAAGTACATTAAAACAGACTCTACCTACAGCAGACCTGAATGTAGGGCTGTAATGATATGCATACCTCATGGTACGATACGAATCATGCTATGATCCTTATGATACGATACTTATCATGGTACACGCATCTGCTCAAAAGGACAACTTCATAACGATTGAGTGCAGGATTTTACAGAGTTTTGTCATATACTTGATGAATTACTTTAGTAAATACTGGCAAAACGAAGTAGCAGAAACGAGACTAAGGTGTTGCTTTTCTAGCAACAGCGGTGGCGTCAACATTAAGTTTTTGTGTTTGACTTGGTTTCACTGAAAGTAGAAGTGCTAGACCAACCAACTGGACCAAAGATGCATCTAAGGTAGTGCATCTCAACCCATGCATCAAATGCTGGATGCGGCCTACCTTTCATGGTCCATTGACTTTGTCAGTATCTCCATCAACATTAAGTTTTTACGTTTTAGTTAGTTTCTCTGATATGTGCATTGACTGTCAGAGCAGGGCAAAGGCAAGACATCAATCTGAATGGCTTGTTAGTACTTTTGCACAGTGGGCTACACCATAACTAAAATGATTCAAAAACAATTTGTAAACTCTTAGAGTTTAATAATAAAAAATATTGATAATTTCAGTACCCTTAGTGTATCATGATACAGGCAAACAAAATGATTCAATCAATACAAAAGAAAGAATCACGATACGATATGATACGATATATCGTTGCAGCCCTACCTGAGAGTCCATTTTCAGTCCATGGCTTGGTGTAGTACAATAAAGACGAAGTTCCAACACTGACCTGGCATTGTTATGTAATGACAAGGCAAATTTGTTTATGGTATTTAAAATATGATGATTTCTGAGAAAAAGATACTTTGCAGATTTACAAACACTAAAATTTAATATTGAAATTGGTTTTATCTTGCAGAACACAATTGTGTTTGTTAACGTCAAATTTCACTTAATATCACATTTCACTTATTATCACATTCCACTAACAGGTATGTGAAATGTAATGTAGCACTTTATATCATGATTTCATGTGACAAATGAAAGATGAAATTGAAAGTAACAAAATGTACAATATGCACTGTATTCATTTTAATCTGTAAATTTCATAATCTGAAGTATAGGCTTTGTATTGATGGGCGAGCGACCTAGCTGAATAAAGACATTTGAAGCCACAGTTTATCATAAGAAAACCTGTTAAAAAAGGACGCATGTTTCATGTTTAAGTACATCTGGTGTATTTTGAGATACTGTACTGATAATAATTTGAATTATCCTTTAAAGATCTTTTTAAGTTATGTGGTTATAGGAAATTTAAATATTTAATATTCATATCTCAAGGATGATACAGGAATAGAAAGCAAATCTTTAATACTTGTTTTATTGTATAAGATAACTGATATTATAATTGACATAAGCATTATTGCATTCCCGGTTATTTTTTGTTTCAGTCACCCACTCATCAAGAAGGTGTATGACTTAAAGAACAACAAAGCAGATTTAGGAAGATTAGTTGCTGAACAGGTATTTACATTTTTTTGGCACATTTTCACAGAATTAATCTTCATTGTTGACCTGAAATAGCTATTTTAAAAAATGGTGTTAGTTGGGAACCATAATGAATTAGGTTTTTTTTGGTTCGCTCTATGTTATTTTTTGTACTTGTATACATAATTTTTTGCATTTGCATTAAATAAAAACAGAAAAACTGACAGTTCTCTTGAAAATTGAAAGGGTTTAGCTTCAGCCACCAAAATTGATAGCAAAGAAAAGGAAAATAGATAGGCTTTGTATGACAAAAAAAGGATATATGTTAAACTAACACTCTCTACACCCCTAGATTATGTCAGAGCAAAATTGAAAGCACATGACTAGCAATTTGATTGGTCCTGGGAAAAAAACTTGACCAATTACTAGGCTGATACCTGTCCTTTGAAGATTACAAAGGAGAGACGCCCAACTTCAAAGCTTGTCAGTTTTACAGTTACATGGATGCAAGATTCTTTTACTGTACATCAAAGGGTAAAACTGGTCTTCTTGTCTCGTCCACACTGAACCTTTGATTTTGTCATTAGATAGACCAGGGGTGCAGAGAACATAAGTGAGTGAAACCCCAGAAGTATCTCGCTAGGATGCACTTGGTTGATAGTTACAAGAGTGGGAATGTCATTCAAAATGACAGAAGTTGGCCAATGGAAAAGTCCAGACTGCCATCTTGTAAACTCTTGTTTGCAGTTCTAGGCATTCTGTTTCAATCATATGTCGTTTTTCACACTGAGTATATGCTAACATAGTGGACTCAATAACAGGGTTGATATATCAAACAGAGCTGTGCTGAATTAGCAGTTGTCTCCCCTTAACTGTTCACAGACGTGTGCATATTATGATACTTTATTAAATTGTAATGTACAGATTTATGCTTTTCACCCATTATACTGTGTTGTTAAATACTTGTAAATGTTTAAATGTAATCTCATAACCTATGAACAAGTTACACAAAATGTCCTGGATATTGCGTAGATTGAGTGCCAGGCTGGGTCAACTTATACAAATCATGCTTGGTGTTATTGGAATGGGCAACTTAACAAAAGCTATACTCATAGTATCAGGAGCAACTTTAAAATAAATGTTCTTGGTGCTTCAGGTACAGGACTTGACATTAGCTTTTGACAAAAACTCCAGCAAACTTAGTAATTGACAATCTGAGGATATTGTAACAACACATAGATTCTTAATTAACTGACATTCTAAATAGATATACAATCAGACTGGGAGGCACTTTTTATACTGCTAATGGTAGCCAGTAAGGGACCTATATAGTTTTAGCAATACTCTCCTTGTTATATATATTTTTATTGAAAATTATGATTAAGGGATGGGCTATTATGACCCTTACTCAACAACATGTTCTTTATATTTTACTGCCATTCTGTACTGATATACCACCTCCTTTATTCCATTATTTGAATCCTTCATACACAGCATCCCTGAGTGCCCTTGGCACTTTGATTTTAGTAGCTAGAGGTCATTGATGAAGGTCAGTAACTTATAGTAGCTACAGGTCATTAATGAAGGTCAGTAACTTACAGTAGCTACAGGTCATTGAAGGTCATTAACTTATAGTAGCTAGAGGTCATTGTTGAATGCCAGTAACTTACAGTAGCTAGAGGTCATTAAAGGTCAGTAACTTATAGAAGCTAGAGGTCATTGATGAATGTCAGTAACTTATAGTAGCTAGAGGTCGTTGATGAATGTCAGTAACTCACAGTAGCTAGAGGTCATTGAATGTCAGTAACTTATAGCAGCTAGAGGTCATTGATGAATGGCAGTAACTTATAGTAGCTAGAGGTCGTTGATGAATGTCAGTAACTTATAGTAGATAGAGGTCATTGATGAATCTCAGTAACTTATAGTAGCTCGAGGTCATTGATGAATGTAAGTAACTTATAGTAGCTAGAGGGCATTGTTGAATGCCAGTAACTTACAGTAGCTACAGGTAATTAATGAATGTCAGTAACTTATAGCAGCTAGAGGTCATTGATGAATGGCAGTAACTTATAGTAGCTAGAGGGCATTGTTGAATGCCAGTAACTTACAGTAGCTAGAGGTCATTGAATGTCAGTAACTTATAGAAGATAGAGGTCATTGATGAATCTCAGTAACTTATAGTAGCTAGAGGTCGTTGATGAATGTCAGTAACTTATAGAAGCTAGGGGTCATTGATGAATGTCAGTAACTTATAGTAGCTCGAGGTCATTGATGAATGTAAGTAACTTATAGTAGCTCGAGGTCATTGATGAATGTAAGTTACTTATAGTAGCTAGAGGTCATTAAAGGTCAGTAACTTATAGAAGCTAGAGGTGATTGATGAATGTCAGTAACTTACAGTAGCTAGAGGTCATTAGAGGTCAGTAACTTATAGAAGCTAGAGGTCATTGATGAAGGTCAGTAACTTACAGTAGCTAGAGGTCATTAGAGGTCAGTAACTTATAGAAGCTAGAGGTGATTGATGAATGTCAGTAACTTATAGCAGCTAGAGGTCATTGATGAATTTCAGTACCTTATAGTAGCTAGAGGTCATTAAATGTCAGTAACTTATATTTACTATGTCAATATGACCAATTATTATTGATGATATCGGATTCCTTTGAACAGGTCATTAATGAATGTCAGTAACTTATAGCAGCTAGAGGTCATTGATGAAGGTCAGTAACTTACAGTAGCTAGAGGTCATCAAAGGTCAGTAACTTATAGAAGCTAGAGGTGATTGATGAATGTCAGTAACTCACAGTAGCTAGAGGTCATTGATGAAGGTCAGTAACTTATAGTAGCCAGAGGTCATTGATGGTGGTCAGTAACTTACAGTAGCTACAGGTCATTGAATGTCAGTAACTTATAGAAGATAGAGGTCATTGATGAATGTCAGTAACTTATAGTAGCTAGAGGTCATTGACCCATGTCAGTAACTTATAGAAGCTAGAGGTCATTGATGACTGTAAGTAACTTATAGTAGCTAGAGGTCATTGATGACTGTAAGTAACTTATAGTAGCTAAAGGTCATTGCTGAATGTCAGCAACTTATAGTAGCTAAAGGTCATTGCTGAATGTCAGCAACTTATAGTAGCTAAAGGTCATTGCTGAATGTCAGCAACTTATAGTAGCTACCAGTAACTTATAGTAGCTAAAGGTCATTGCTGAATGTCAGCAACTTATAGTAGCTAAAGGTCATTGCTGAATGTCAGCAACTTATAGTAGCTAGAGGTCATTAATGAATGTCAGTAACTTACAGTAGCTACAGGTCATTGAATGTCAGTAACTTAAAGTAGCTACAGGTCATTGATGGTGGTCAGTAACTTATAGTAGCTACAGGTCATTGATGAATGACAGTAAGTTACAGTAGCTACCGGTCATTGATGGTGGTCAGTAACTTATAGTAGCTACCAGTAACTTATAGTAGCTACAGGTCATTAATGAAGGTCAGTTACTAATAGTAGCTACAGGTCATTAATGAAGGTCAATAACTTACAGTAGCTACAGGTCATTGAAGGTCAGTAAATTACAGTAGCAACAGGTCATTGGTAAATGTCAGTAACTTATATTTACTATGTCAATATGACCAATTATTATTGATGATATCGGATTCCTTTGAGCCATGGTGCTCAAAAACAAATGTTTACTACTGTATTATGAGTAAATACTCAACGAGATTCACTATATAATTATAATCTTCTATTTATGAATCGGATACAATCGTACAATTGTATGTAGCGGTATGACTGTATAACAAAGGAACAGGGAGTCTTCAGTTGTCTAGCCACCCTTACTGAATTAGCTGTACCACTGCATTACTGGAACAGATTGTAATACAAATAGAAAACCTGTAACCTTGATACACCCGAAACACTGGCTAGGTAGTGCCATGGACAATTGAATATATGGTAGTTTTATTGATAATTATGCTTTGATTTCATTGTCAGTAGTTGTAGAAAATGAGAGTTTCACATATCAATGATAATACAATATTGATTTCAGTGACAGTGACAGTAGACGAAGAAAATAAGTTTCACATATCAATGATAATACAATATTGATTTCAGTGACAGTGAATGTAAAAGATAAGTTTCACATATCAATAAATAAGTCAATAAAACCAAAACTATTATAGACTGCATTTATAGTATTGGGATATCGGGGCACTGTTGGATTTCCTTTTCATTAAGTACAAATCAAGCTTAAATGTGATCGGTGTGGAATTTTAAGAATGATGTTAATTTTAGGCATGCAGTGATTAAACAAGTTTAGCTGTGTTCAATAATCAACAAACTTGAGTTTACGTAGTCTAGCGGTAAAAGCAACTTTTCCCTGTGGTAGTTACTGCCTTCTGGAATAAGAGTGGCCATTATGATCAGGGGCCTCCCACGCCTGTTCAATAACCGTGAAACACCATTATAGTGTCACAGACAGTTTAGTGTAAAAGGAGGCTCAATTCTACCCATCCATACACAAAACCAGGAATGATTGCATGTCAGTCATTGCCTGCTTATAACTTACTGTAGTATATATAGATATATAGATAAAGAGCTATCGTGCCTTAATATGGAACATGTTGCCCTTTAAATTTGTGTTTTGAGGTTGATTAAAAACATTAAAAAAATGGATTATAAAAACAGCATTTCTCCTCATCTTGTTGATGTTCTGTAATTAATTCAAGTGGGAGGCTATGCCAGAATTTTCCATTTTGCCTTCTCTGAGTTGAACGCAATTTTACCTAAGTTAAGAGTAAGTCATCCTTTATGCCACTTAATTACAATAATGTACCGGTGATCATTACTAGAATGAGGTATACAATTCTGTATCAATCTCATTACATGAATGAATCGTTACGCTACATTGTTCAGTGTGACGTGATTGGTAGTACACTGGAGACCTAATGTACTAAGAACCTCATGTCCTGACATGTTTAACTGACGCCCAGTTCGCTGAGCTCAGCAGTTCTGTGTTCATAGAGCAACACAAGGTAGTTG